AAAAGGGGCAAACTAACATGTGGCTTAGCCGATGATGAGTTTTGGACGTGATAGAAGTATGCTATAACTACCTATACTATAATTGCAACGCCAAGAGATCAGCTCAACCGAGGAAGGACCGCGCTCTCACAGAATACCAGCGTAAAATAGCAAATCAATGCTGCTCGGCTTCGTATGGTCTGTGTAAAGAACCGTGAACCCTTTTTACAGGATTACAGGAATGCCTCGTCATTCCATCTTAGTCCTCAGATTTAACAAACCAACAATACAAATGGCATATGAATTTTTCATTGGGCATAAAGATAAATGTCTATAAACCACTGCATCCACTTACCATCAGGTGGACTTTGTGCGCGTTTGTCACCCTTATTTAAAAAAAAGTAACTACCACCGCCCGTGAACAAATGCAACACCAGGGGAACTGTAGATCCATTGCCGGCTTTTTAATAAAAGTAGGCTCTTTTTTTGAAAGTCCCTAAGTCATATCGATCCGGAAAAATCACTGGTGGTAGTCGACTCCACACGGAAGTTGTGTTAAGACGAAAATAAACAGTTGCAGCATTCACAACGTAACACACTATTTGATCTTTGATACCTATTGTATTATTTCAGTAAGTTTTAATAGCTTTGGTATTATAATACATATATTAACGGTCGAACAACGGATGGAAATTCAAAACAATCAATAAAAATAATTAGGGAAGGAGATTGAGGGATTATCAAATAATTTTATTGTAATTATATCAAAAAGAAAAATTGACGGAGCGCTTTCAAGTGACGCTCTAAACTTGCTCAATTTCTTGACGCGCACTCACTCACACATCTTTTTCTGTTTCTTTAACATTCCAAAAATTTAAAGACGCACACATTGCATCTAAAACTAGGTTCTTGGTTGCAAATGCTTTTTAGATGCATATGTGTGCGTGAGTGCGTGTTCTTACAATAATTTGTACATGGTTTTTGGTTAGAGCTGAGATATACTTGCAAAATCCAATAGCAGGACTTCTAAGTACGAGAACTTAAAAATACCAGGATATATACGTAAAAAGCTAGGTGTTATAATACTTGAAAGTGTAAGTATTTAGTTCGTGCCCTGCCACAATCTTGTGCGTCCCGTCCGAGGCCTGCCCCGTCCGCGATGTATCCTCGGCGTCCAAAGTTGTAAATACTTGCATAAAAAATCGATCCGTATTCCGTATTGTCCTATGATTTATAAGGAACCCAATCGTATAAGTGAAAAAATACTTTGAAATTAAAAGCATTTTTACTCGCAAATACGATTGTGTTCTTTATTTATATGAGAATATGGATCGTTTTCCTATACAAGTATTTTCATATTTGGTGTTTCAAGTTCTTCCCGCATCCGACTTATAGCATATACCTTCATACATGCAAATATTTTCTGCTCGTACCAGGGCGCCCCACTTCAAAGTGAAACCCTGGTTTTAAAACCTGGTAGCGTACATTAAATACGTCTTATCTGTATTTTTGTCTTAATTTCAGCGTCACTTGAAATGTACGTAGCGCGCCGTCTCTCTTTCTTTGTTGGACTAATGCAGAAATACTCAAACGCTACTCAATTTTAAGATGCCGTTTTTTACGTGGTAGAGGCATGCTGCAGCTATATTGAGGTTGCAGCACGAATGGGTCGGCTCGATCGGGGTAGGACCACACTCTCACAGAATACCAGAGTAAAATAGCAGCTTAATTCTGCTGTGTTTCGTATGATGAGTGTAGAAAACCGGAGACTCTTTTTACTGGAAGCGAGGCTTTCCATCCCAGTCCAGCATCAGCATCAGCAGGGGTGACAACGCATCTGCATTTTGATTCTTCATCTTTCATCATTACAGCCTTTCATAAGTCCACTGCTGAACATAGGCCTCCCCCAAGGAATGTCACAAAGCACGGTCCTGAGCCACCTGCATCCATCGACTTCCTGCATGTCTTACCAGGTCGTCACTCCATCTCGTGAGGGGTCACCCTACACTTCGCCTACCGGTACGAAGCTGCCACTCAAAAACCTTTCTTCCCCATCGGTTGTCGGTTCTTCGAGCTATATGGGCGGCCCACTGCCACTTCAGCTTACTAATCCCTTGGGCTATGTCGGTTACTCTGGTTCTACTGCGGATATACTCATTTCTAAGTTTATCACGCAGAGAAACCCCGAGCATAGCCCTCTCCATAGCTCGCTGAACGACCTTGAGCTTCCTCATACGGCCAGCAGTGAAGGACCACGTCTCAGATCCGTAATTCATCACTGGCAACACGCACTGGTTGTACAATTTCGTTTTAAGGTTTTGAGGTATGTCTGATTCTTAATTGAGGATAAATGTAGATATCTATTGGCCACATCATCCACTTACCATCAGGTGGTCTGTGTGCTTGTTTTTCATCCTTATTCTATAAAAAAAGTCTCGTGCTGTTTCTATCACTTAAAGTCAAAGAGACTGTGACACCATGAGACTTAACAGTGTCGTAAAATTGAGTAGCATTTGAGTATTTGGGCATAAGTGTATTATTATAAAACGTTTATTTTACATGTCTGTGTTGCGCGCAGCTAATGGACGGACGTCGGCCGGCTGGTGGTTCGCTGGAAGTGAAACTGCGCGTCCGCAATCCGCTGCTGCAGCAACAAGTGGAGCGCTCCTCGCATCGCTGGCTAGTCATTGACAGCTAATGATCACGACTCATAAGTCCTAGGCTTAGGTTTTCCAAAAAATTACCAAGCGACATTTATTTCTTGTTAGTTACTCATACTTACTGGGAGGTGCAAATGGCGCCATTATGGTAATGCAGAAGGGAATAGTCGGTGACTTACCTGATAACTCAGCTCTCTTCTGTGCGGCTGCTGGTCATTACTCTAGCTTGCACCACTCACTCAACAATAGTTTTCTAATATAATTCACACAAACGGTTCACATTTACGCACACACATATTTCACAGCGTGTCAATGACAGGCGGTGGCTACCGATGTTACTCGTGAGTGATCCGAAGACGAATTGAAAAAACGGCCGCCCTTATATCGAATTTTCTAGTTGCAGCGAATTCTATCTCTTTTCATCGACTCTTTAGGATAAGGAGTAAGAAAAAGATGGCAAATAATGAAAATTGTAATTATATGATGATATTTTGATGTGATTGGTGTATTCATTCAATTTCAAATATGTGCTAAAACGGCGTTAACACGTATTAAGGTGGACAAGCGGGCTCGAACTGCACATAACTCAGTCAAGAAGATTTAGAGTAAGAGTAAGATTTAAAGTAACCTATTAAGCCAGACTGTAAATATATTAACCGTCGTCGGGGAGCAAAGCCAAAGGGTAATCACTAGTGCTGTGATATTTCATCTATCAGTAAAGCGTCGCTAATATCCAACTGTGGGAGAGGTTCATGTCCAACCGAGAACTATGTGTTGATAATTATGAGGATATAAAGAAGGTAAAGTAAGGCCTTTAACGGCCTGTTAAAAGGCCTTCCATTAATCCTTTCGTTAATGAATGGGTTTTATGAGAAGAATCCGCTATACTGCCCCAATGTGTATTTCAAAAGAAACCAGAGCAAATTTTTAAACGTTTTTCAATAATATTTTTACGTGCTAAATGTTAGCTTGTTCCTCTTACGTTTTCTTCATGGTTTTAGATAAAGATTAATAATTAAATTTCACAGATGGAGATTGATATTGGCTCGCTAGGTTAGAACTATTATGAACGCCAAGTATCTCTCTCTACCTAAAGTTTGTTCGGTGAGAATTGATAAATATAAAAACGTCTAGCAATAGTTACTGTCGCATATCGCAATTTGTATGACGGATATCGCTTATGCAGTTTCGTACATGGAGTATAGAGTAGAAGGAGGACCATCTCTGTATATGAAAAGTGTCCGTAAAAACGTGTCCAATAAGGGTGGCGCTGCGGTAGCATAGGATAAATTTAAAAAAAAAGCGCCAAAAGTAATTAGAATAAGATGGAGAAATAAACAAGGACCGACCAATCCACTTGGTTTTGGCGCACTTTTCAAACAATATATATGGTCGGAGCAACATATGATATTATGATTTATATCAAAACTGAAGGGAATATAAATTTAAAATTAAAACGGCGTCGTTTCATATAATCAAATTAACAAACGTTTAAACTATTTTTTTCAGTCAGAAATTGTAATGCGGAAAATTTGAGGGAATTACAAGTAAAATTTTAAATTATTTTAACTTGTTAAAAATTTATTTGTTGAAAGAAAAATAACAAGTCTTATGGAATAAATAAGGTGTAAATGTAAAATAAATCATCAAGCGGGTTATTCAAGGATTTATATTATTAAATTATATAAATAAACGATTACATTTTCAACAATAGTATTAATACACTTGAGAGTAATAACACACTTGATTACTTGTTGTTTGCTTTACTAGTGCTCACAACACGAATTGCATTCAATAATTATTGCAATCGTTTTTATAATATCGCACAATGGTGGTAGCCTATCCCTATTACCTATCAAAACTGAACTTAGCACAACAGTTTGATTGTGTAAGAATTATACAATGCAAATACTTTTTAATATGAAAATAAGTAAAACGCTGTTATAAATATTACTGATGAGTGAATTAATTCTTTGTAAATATTTCAAATTTTAAATTAGAAAATTATCTATGATAATTCTTATAAACAACACAATGACTTTTAATCTATTTTATGTTTGATAATTAAAAAATAATAATATAAAACAAAAATGATAAATTATACAATTATTACTTATAACGATTCATAATAGAAATGATATAACAATCACTGATAACAATAGTGATAGTTAAACATTCTTTATTAATAACAAGTTGTGTACTTATGATAGTAGGTTGGCATTTTTCAGTGTAAATGTAAAATAAATCAACAAGCGGGTTAAACAGATATTCAACGATTTATATTATTAAATTATATAAATAAACATCTTTAACAATAGTTATAGTTAAACATTTTTTTATTAATAACAAGTTGATGTGTAGTTATGACAGTAGTTTGGCATTTTTCCTATTTGCTTTAGTCTTAATTTTGGCTACTTCATAGCGTTTATTTTCAGATTTAGCCAAAAAATAGGATCTTATCACTACATAAAAATCAATAATTTTAACAGTCAGTTCTTTTTCATGTTGAAAGCAACCTACTCTTAGCAAAACTTCTTTTTTTAGCTCTCGCGATATTTGACTTATAGTGTGAACATTGGTTAGAGTTTTACTAATAGTTCTCAAAACACACTTTTCTAATTGTTTCGTTAAATCAAATAATTCATTGCTTGCATATATGAGTCCACCATATAAATCCATTTTATTAATGACATCATTTCTCTGTAATTGTCTACCATCTCCCGCTTTCATTTGTAAAGCTTGTAAGCAATTCACGCACTTCGTAGTCTTTCGCAATTTGCGGACTATGTAACCAGCAATGTATGATTGAACGGCATCGCTGGTTACAGCCTCATTGTAATCGTGGTCTTCATCGATTAAAGAACCTTCCAATAATGGTTCAGAACTTTCAACCATAATATCAATATTTTGAAGCCATATTTCCTTGTCTTTATTGGGAGAAGTTAAAATTCCTTGAGCTCCTAATAAAGTTTTTAGCAGGTCTTTCCCTGATACATTACATCCTTTTGGAGGACGTACGAGAGAAAAACAAGAAGCCAAACGATACACTTGTGCAAACATTTTTGGATCAGGGTGGTCGTTTCCTCCACACGAATGTCGCATTACAGAAAAGAATCTCTGAAATTCCAAATAAATAATTGTTTATAAAGAAATAAAATGAGTGAAATCAATTATAATTGAATATAAAATTGTATATTGTATAATTACCTCTAAAGGATCTTGTGACAAAGTTGCTGTCATTAAATACTCATAATTACATTCCATGTATAACATTTTCGATATTTGTAGTGTTGCGTGCAATGTTACTTTTAATCCTAGTAACGTACTCCTTGATACAGGTATTTTTTTTCTACTTTCTCCCAATCTTCAAGAAATTGTAAGAAATCCAAAATTGCCTAGAAAAGTATAATTGTAATTAGTTGTAAGGCCTTTAAAACTTCAACAAAGCATGGATCCAAAAACAGAAAAATATTACTCCTGTACAATTTCTGTTGTTTCTGTGAACATTTGTAGTTTAAATGACAATGATAACAAATGTCATGCAGAATATACTACAAAATTCAGTAGTTGGTAAAACATTTAAATGTTATGTATTACTAAATAAATGTCCTTACTTGTTTTTAACAGCAATCTTCCTTCACATACAGAGCTTTTTTTGGCTCGCGTGATGACATAGCTTTTATTAATTTATAAACAACATCAATAAATTTTTGCGTTGGTGTAGAATCTTTTAATTTGTCGCAAACAGGTTGGTAATGAGCCATTGCAACTGATACTTCATGACCAAACACCTATCATAGTCTTTAGTCTATTCATTCAATACAAAAAAAATATACTTGAAAAAATGTACATACTTGTGTTGTTGAGGCACATTCATTGTCTGAAAGCCTTTAGGTTTTAAATGGGCAGGTGTCAATTTGTAGGCAATTTTCATATTGGGCTGACGATAATTCTCCTCTTCTAAGAGAGCTTCCCAATGCTTCTTTTTGACTATTCCATAAGGGGTCTGTGACATCAATAACACTATTTATAATAATGTTCTGTGCTTCTATTTACTGGATATAGCATTACTTTTTATTATACCTGGAATTCCTGTAAATTGTCATCCAAAGTAGATGTTCGGAAGCATTTTAATAAATGATTAAAATCCGAAATCATCCACAATCGTCGTGACCTATCATAAGGATGTTCACAGCTAATGTTTTTGTCGTCAATACCGAAAATTTTCCAAACCCCTCTATTCCTCGATGCACCATCCATAACTACAGCATCAATGCAGATTCCACTATTTTCCATAAGTACAATACACTCTAAAAGAAGCTTATGAAGTGGTTCGCTTTTGCAAGCATTCCTAGAAAGGAAGCAGCCTAAAGCTTGAACCCATCTACCTCTGAAGGGTACAAACTTAAAAACTAAGGCATGATCTGCTGTCTTATTTTTCAAGTCTTCCGGGGTGTGCTGTCCATGATCTATAAAACCACTAAATTTCATAGAATGTTGATCAAAATAAACGCCTTCACTTAGTTTCATTTCGTCGACCAAAATGACTCAATGTTTCTCTCCTTTTGTCATTGCTTCGCATCTTTCTTGTAGACTATGAAAAGTAGCCGGTTGAAATCCGTAAGCAGAGCCACTAATTTTTCGAATGAATATACTCAATGTTTCTAAAGATGGTAGCGGTAAAATATTTCTACTACGTAAAAATCTATACGTATTTCGATTCTTTAAACGTATCAACAAGCATTCATAAATCCATTCTAATGTGTATCGTCGTCCTTTTGATGCTTTTTTCTTTGCAGCTTCGAAACAAGAATTTACAACAGTTTGAAATTCTTGTGGTAAATTTTTAATAGCGTCTTGTAGTACAGCCTGTGATTTTTGAGCACACTTAGACTTCGCCATAAAAACTTTTTCTTTTAGCCCACTTTTCTGTAAAGAAAAAATTAAATATTAACATCGCGGAATAACAAAAACATAAAATAAATTGTGCCATATTACAGAGTAGATGAAACAATTGGATCTATATTACTGATTAACCTAATTATTTATAGTGCAATGGCAATCATCCTTCGAGGCTTCAATTTAATTAAGAAAAAATTAAAATTCTTAAATGAGTAGTATAAATCTTATAATAATAATATTGCACACTTAGCAACATCATTAACTTCGACAACTACAATTTAAAATTACATTTGTTCACATATAATTATAATATTTAAAGTTATTATTTTATTTATAAAACAATCAACTATGTTATTGATTAATTAATCTACATTACTTAATAAGAAGAAAGATTTGGTATAATAATTTTATTCATATGTGGTTGGTATGGTACAAAATTTATGTTCTGTTATATATAATTATGATTTTCTAAAGCTAAGTAATTTCATTTGAACGAATCAACATTGAACAATGTATAAATCATTTATATTAGAACAACAGATTAAATGTACAATTAATATATACATTATGAATACTTTACCAAAAGATTTAATTTAAAACTCATATGTACATGATCACTATTTTTCCAAAAAGATATGTGGATGTAAAATGATAAATAAAATGTTTGAAAGAAAGTACCTGCAATACCTTATTACCCTGAAGATACATTTTTGCAATTTTCATAGAGCTTAGACGTTTTCAATGAAATTAAAAAAAAACTTACCATTCTTTTTAGACGTTTGTTTTGTTTAACAAGGTTTGAAGCACGCCGTTTTAGAGCTGTCGTTTTCTCTAAAATAATTGAAGTTGATTTACGGCTTTGTAAGCGTTTCCGTAAAATGCGACATGATTTACATCTTGGATTTCTTTGATTTCTTTGGTAAGCATCGCCTCTTATAATCACACCTTTACACAATTTTGAGTACCTGAAAATTTATGTATTTTTTAAGTATTATAGATGTGTAAAACATTTTATAGTTCCTTTGTTTTATGTGTAAAAAAATATTCATACTTATTACTGTCTATTTGCGTACCAATGCATAATGGCCATCTTTCTACAGATTTTAAGAACTCACAAAGATTTTTGAAAGAATTAATTTTTACATAAAGCGGCAGTTCTTCATCATTAGAAAAAATAACCTGCAATTAAGTTGCTATTAATGATTATTGTAACTAAAAAATTAATTACTTTATCCATACATTAATTAATAAATACTTACAGTAACTGATAAATCCTCATTTAGACGTATATAATTTTTTGTTTCCTTGGTTGATGGATCCATTCGCAGAAATTCTAGTCCGTCTGGTTTCTCTACATGCATCCAAAAAGCATTGGACATTTCAGGATATCTCTAAAACTCTCTATTGGTTGTATAGTTGTTTCTTTTGCTACGTTATTATTTAAATCATCATTGGACTGCTGACTCAACAGAGATTCTTCCAAGTCCTGTTCCATTTGTTCATTGTAATTTGTAGCATTATTAGGATTATACAGATCATCTAATAATTCATGTTGCTCAATGCTGCTGTTTTGCATACTATCCTGCTGGTCGTCTCCACTGTGATTGTGGCATGAAATTGATTTTTGTGGTTCAATAATACTTGCTTGGAGCTCATATGCTGGTATTGGAATAAATTGATGCTCGATTGTTGGCAAAGCTTCATTTTTAACATTTTTTTCACTGCTGGAAAAATCTTGAGCTCTCCGTCAATCATAAACCTGTCGTACAATTTTATATGTTCTTCTTTTAAAATGAAGATGGCAAATATTATCAGTGGCTTTTAATTTAATACACAAACACCTTTGCCACTTGTCTAATCTTGCTGTTGTCTGTAAATATAATTTAATATAATACAAAATAAAAAAGTGTTGATTAAACATTAAAGAAACGTTAAACCCTGATTAAGAAATCTAATTTGAAATTATTATAAAACAATTTGAAATAACATGATTCGAGTAAAATAATATATAAACATACACTTTGCATGGATTGAATTATTTTTAATTCGATTTCTCAATCAGGGTGTCGTAAATTAAATAAATAATTCAAAATAAACTACTCAACATACAGTAGGTCGGAAAAAAGACAGAAGTTGAGGCGAACCATATTTTGAAGTTTTTAGTTTACGTCCACTTGGACAACTTTTCACAATACAGGTTTTTCCCATAATTGTTCAATTATTTCTTAACCTTTTATAACTATCACCACCACAAAAAACCACCACCTAATAATTATTTTTAAAAAGCCATACTAATAAAATCAAGTTTCCTCACAGCAAGTTTTTGGTTATATTAACTTAATTATTTTAGACTACGTAAATGGTTTGTATAATACTGGCATTTTATGATTTTACTTCCCCCATATAAAAAAGTACTCTGTGCATTTTACTAACTACTATCTATATTGTCATGAAATATTTAAATATTTGAATTCAGCTAACTTCATTCCGTCTATCAAAAACAGCTATATTCATATCGTAGTTTTTCAGACGCCAGCGCTATTGTGGTAGGTTTTGGAACCTCTATTTTCAGTAAACAGTTGGACACTTTTTCAACTTTCCCCCCATATGAGATGGTTCTCCTTCTACTCTATACTCCATGGTTTCGTAGTACGAGGCTCGCAGCTGTCGTTAAGCGCGGGGCTTGGGAGGGCCGACGTGGCGGCCAAGTAACTAGCGGGCCTCAATTTGTAATGAGTTTAGGAACTCTGGTTATTTATTTTTAGGCTTCGCAACATTTAAATGACATGGCGACAGTGGCACTACGTATCCGTTAGATAAATAAATAAGTCTTACATGGTTAAATTTAGTCCGAGGCTAATTGCTAACTATTAAAAATTTAGGTACTTTATCATTTTCCCTATAGAGTTTCTACTGAATGCGTCCTATCAATGATACTTCACCAAATCGATAGTTAGCTTAACATAAATATTTTTAAAAAGACGTCTTGTATTTTTTACATATAAATTTTATTATATCGATTTTATTTTAATGGGGCATAAGTTATTTCATAAGTATTATAAATATTTTAATCTCACAATTGTTTTATTGTATATAATATTATGTAATATATATGTTTATAGAATCAGTTCCAAAGTTCATAGAATTTTCTAATCGTGATAATAACACAAATATAAATATGTTACTAAATTATTTTTGTATATATAAAAAATGGAAAATTCCTTAATATAATATAATATAATATGTAGTCTTAAAAATATAGTTGTTAATGGTGTCATTATGTACATGAAAAATAATGAATATTAATAGTTGTCATTATAATAATAATTGTGTCACATATTTGCACAATGAGCATAATCTCGCAAGCTTTATCTTATTTAAAACTTCTAAAAGTGTACTGAAGTAACTTTAAATAAAATCTGCAATTTAATGTGCTATTCTACAATCAATGCTTGTGTTGT